ATAGTGCATTTAATCACTACCGGCATATGTATGACATAGACATTTCACATGCTCATGGGAGGGGTATGTTTGCCATAATTGTCATGCCACGCTTGGCAAGCGTATTGGCAACCACATTTCTATATAAAAAATAAATAATCTATGCTCGGAAAAAATATGCGCATATAATAAAATTATCCACTAAGTTCTTAATCGAATGGATTTTTAAAATACTTTATATTTCATCCAGATTTTTTAGAGAGAGATTTTTTTAAGTGAACTATAAAGATAATCCATACTAATATTATAAATGCGAAAGTGTGTTTGTTTGTTTGTCCTTCTTTCACGTTGCAACAGAGCGTCGGCATGGCATGATTTTTTGTATGGGGATAGTTCGGTGGCTGTAGAGTGAGTTGAAATAGAATATGTTCCAAAAGTTTGTCCTTTCACGTCGCAACAGAGCGTCGGCATGGCATGAATTTTGGTATGGGGATAGTTCGGTGGCTATAGCGTGACATAGGCTACTTTTTCCGCGGAAAAACATCTCATTTCCGTGGGAAAATCGAATATGTTGCACAAGTTTGTCCTTCTTTCACGTCGGCATGGCATGATTTTTTGTATGGGGATAGTTCGGTGGCTGTAGAGTGACATAGGCTACTTTTTTCCGCGGAAAAACATATCATTCCCGTGGGAAAATCGAATATGTTGCAAAATTAAATTCAGCTAGGTGGCGCCACCGTGATTGTACAAGACGGACGACGATACGATGGACGAACACAGAAGGTCAGAATATCTGGATTATTATGTCTTTTTACCAAAATTAAGATAAAAAAAATGTATGGATCTGTATTTTTCCACGCAGGACCGGGAAGAGAGCGATAAAAAACATAAAATTCACCAGCTATAGGATATTAAGTAATCCGTTGATGTTCTGCCTACCCCGCAAGGGTTACAGGCGTGATTATAAGTATGGGTCAGAAATACTATCACCACCTGTCACGCTTTCACCCTTAACTATGGTAGGAACAGTTCTGAACTTAACTGTGGTAGAAACGGTTCTTAGTAAGCCTTAGTAATATTTATTGAACGGAAATGAATACAGTTCTTATATGTGGTTATGAATGAATTGGTATTACAATAAGAAAAATTGTGCAAAATTATAAGAAAAATATTTTTGAGAGTTCTTATTAACTAACGTATACATAGTTTAAATTGATTCCGCTAGATGTCGTTACTAGGTTTTTAAAACGCGGTAACGAAACGTTTCCTAACATGTACTTAACTCCTGCCGTTGAGCCGCGCGTCAACTTATAGTGCATACGGTACCTACCTATACGCTTAAATTGTTTCTGTTTCGTAGCTTATTCGACTACCTGTTTTCGATTTCGGTTGTTTGTTATTTGCTTTGTGATTTGGTTAAGGTTGAGTGGATTTATATTGGCTTTCATTTTCGGATTTGTGTATTTTCATGGATCGGTTTTGTTGATTTGGTTGGTATTCCTTTATACATATTTAGACTCTGGCTTTGATTTTGGATTTTGTTTATTTAGAATCGTGAATTGGTTTTCGTTGTTTTAGGTTGTTTAACAATATTTCAAAGGTATATTAATAGTATAGATAGTGTATACGGTACCTATACACTTACTTCTTTTTTCGTTGGTTATATTTATATTGACTACTGCTTTCGATTTCGGTTTTCTGCGATTTGTTTTGTGATTTGGTTTAAGTTGATTCGATTTTTTTTTGGCTATCGTTTTTGGATTCGTGTTGTGTCTTGAATTGGTTTTGCTGTTTTGATTTTAAAAAATATTTAAGGAATATTTATTTCTTGTAGATATTTTGGATTTGTTTTTAAAAAAATATTTAAAAGGAAATTTAATTCCTTTTAGGTATTTTAACGTTTTTTATAAGTAGGTTTTTTGTTACTTCATAATGCCTCGCAAACGTAAGTCCAGCCTTTCAAGAGTATCTTCTCAAAGACAAGCGAAAAAATTAGCTCGATCGCTAGAATCTTTAGAAGATGCTGAACTGAGAAGGCAAGAACAAGCAGAGCGTCAGGCTGCTTTTAGAGCATCTGAGACACCTTCTCAACGTCAGCAAAGGCGTCTTGAACAGACAGAGCGTCAAACTGCTTTAAGAGCTTCTGAAACACCTTCTCAAGGTCAGCGAAGGCGTCTTGAACAGGCAGAGCGTCGAGCTACTTTAAGAGCTACTGAAACACCTGATCAAAGTCAGTAAAGGCGTCTTGAACAGGCAGAGCGTCAATCTACTTTAAGAGCTACTGAAACACCTGCTCAAAGTCAGCAAAGGCTATTCGAACAAGCGGAACGTCAGGCCGCCTTAAGAGCCGCGGAAACACCTGATGAAACTCAACACAGACTCATTGAGCAAGCTGAACGTCAATCTACTATAAGGGCATCTGAAATACCAGAACAGACACAGGCGCGAAGAGATGCAAATGCACAGCTCCAAGCTGAACGTCGACAAAATTTTCAAAGAAACAATTGGTCGGTTTTTAATGACGCAGTATTCAATTATGATCCGTTGATTGATTATAAAAATCACAGGTTAGTTGTTATCGGACTGATAGACAATGGCAAAGTGTCTCTTCCGTTACTTGGGGAACCAGAAGAACCTTTGAAAACTCTTTTTTATATGATGCTAATGAGTCACGGCGCTTTTTAAACAGGATCCGGAAATATAACTCATGCTTTCAAATGACGTCCTTCGGAGTTGACCGGGAAATAATAATGCCGGGATTTTCGCCTACATTTACGGTGCAAGGGCAAATTTATCATAGAATAGGTTCACTTTTTCCAGCTGAAAACGAACAGCATAAATTTTTACAAGTATATTTTATGAGTGACGAAGAAATTGAGGTAGACCGTCGCTAACAATATATCCAGGGAGTTGAGAGAGACACAGTGTTCAAAATTCAAAGATTATTGCACATATTGAACATTTTAGTCAAAACATTTAAAACTGCTTCAGAAAACCTACCTGAAGAGGATTATAAAGTCGTCATTTACGCAGATCGGACCCCTTGAGGAGAGCATGAAAGGCCGTAATTAGTGGTGATCAATTTTTTTCACGAGACATTGTCTTGCGAGCACGTGATGATACGTTGCTACGGATAGCCGATACACACAAGTTTTATGACGCTCTGCAATACCCATTGATTTATTGCAAAGGACAAGAGGGTTATCATTTTCAAATTCCACTCATTAACCCGGTCACAAAGGAGCCTACTCCGAATAAAAAAGTATCATGTATGGATTTTTATGCGTATCATATGATGTTGCGAGAAAATGATTTTAACATCTTAGCCCGGTGTATATTATGTCATCAATTTTTAGTAGACATGTATGTGAAGGTAGAAAGTGAACGTATCTTTAAATCAAAAAAAGCTGTACGTTAAGAATTATATACATTTACAAGGTGCAGTTTCTAGCGACGCCAATGTAAACCCCAGAGATTTAGGTAAAATGGTAATTCTGCCCTCATCATTCGTTAACAGTCACCGCTACCTACATGAGTACACACAAGACGCATTCGCCTATGTACGAACTTACGGAAGACCTGATCTTTTTGTTACTTTTACTTGCAATCCGACATGGAAAGAAATAACCGAGGAGCTAATGCCGGGCCAAAAAAGTACTGACAGACACGATTTAGTTGCTAGAGTATTTAGATTAAAAGTACAAAAAGTAATGTATGTAATTGACAAAGGGAAAATTTTCGGAGAGGTGCAGTGCTTCATGTATTCAATTGAATGGCAAAAAAGAGGATTACCGCATGCCCACATTCTAATATGAATTAAGAGAAGTTGCGGCCCAGCCAAATAGACGACATAATAAGCGCCGAGATTCCGGATCCTGAGCAAGATAAAGAATTGTATGATACCATCGTCCGAAATATGATTCAGGGTCCATGTGGAGCACGAAATTCAATATCGCCATGTATGAAAGAAGGAAAATGTACAAAGAAATTCCCTTAACAGCTATTAAAAGAAACAGTGCACAATGACAGTGCCCTTTATACAGACGCAGAGCTCCCGAAGATGGTGGCAGGAAAGTTACAATCAAATCTCGCTCTGGAGCGTTCGAAACCTTAGATAAAAGCTGGATTGTCCCGTATTCGCCCATTTCATGTAAAATGTTTAATGCCCACATTAATGTAGAAGCAAGTAGCTCTGTCCGCGCAATCAGGTATATCTGTAAATAAATAAATAAAGGAAGCGACCAAGCAATATTTAATCTCAGGAGTGAAGGTGAGGCAAATCCCGTTAGTGAAGTACAGACCTTTCAAGCAGGGCGTTATGTCAGCAGTAACGAGGCAGCGTGGCGTCTCCTTGGCTTACCTTTACACGAAAGGCACCCAACAGTTACTCACCTTGCTGTGCACTTAGAAAATGGAGAGCATGTATATTTCTCCGAAAGAAATTTTCAAGAAAGAATTGCATCACCGCCAAAAACTACACTAACAGCCTTCTTTCAACTTTGTCAAACCGACCCCTTTGCAAAAACGTTGTTACATTCTGAAGTCCCCCGCTATTATACTTGGAACACATCTAGGAAGGAGTGGAAACGCCGTATTCAAGGCGCGCCTGTTAAAAATTGGCCCGGTGTAAAGTCATCAGATGCCCTTGATCGTGTGTATACCGTCCATGTAACTAATTTTGGATGTTTCTGTTTACGATTGCTGCTGCACCATGTTCGGGGTCCTACAGGATATAAATACCTTAAACACATTGTACGACCACGCGTTATTGTGGACGGACGTATTCAGACTATCGAGGGATTTTTAAAAACATTGTAAACAGTAAATATTTTTGAAAAAGTGTCTTATTGCTATAGTCATAATATTGAGAATCGTAGTCAACTTCGATGATCGACGGGTGCAGTCAAACATCAGTCTACGTGTAACTGCGATCCCCACCTCTACGCACAAAGATCGGTAATATATCAAGCTATTCGCACATGCATAGATTAATGAACGTAAAGAAGTGATATTTTTTGATAATGCAGCGCTCTCCAACAAATAAACGTTTTGATTCCGATCCCGATTTATCCAACATTGTCGCTCGAAAACGCAAGTATGATCACGATATTTCAGATTCATTCAAATTATTCACTGATAATATATTGAAAAAGATGGATGATTGGAAGACAGATTTTAATATTAATTTACTTCAAATAAATGACGCTATAAATAATTTGATTAAGAACGACCTTGCAAAACTGAACGAGATTGTAGTCGAGGTGAAGGCAGAGATCGATAATATGCGTAAGGAATACACAGAGATTAAGACTGACATAGTAAGATTAAAAACTCAGCAAGTGGCAACACAAAAAGAAATTAATAGTCTCCAGCAGTCGGTACAATTCAATGCTGACCAGCAAGACGAGCAAGCAAAAAAGATTGAAACTTTAGCTGTCGATACTAAGAAAACACGTGAAATAGAGATGGAAATTGTTAAAATAAAACAGCAAAATATGCAATTACAATCACAACTGAACTCAAGTGAACAGAGAGAGAGATTATCAAATATTGAAATTGTCGGTGTGCCGGAATGCAAAAGCGAAAATCTTCAAGACCTTATTTTGAACATTGGAAAACATATTGGTGTCGATATTCCGCCAAATGATATTTTACAAGTGAATAGAGTTTCTCCGAAAATAAAATTACAAGGTCGTCCCAGAGTCATAATAGCTAAAATGCGAACAAGGCTCTTGAAGGACAACATAATTTCACGGGGCCGCAAAGCTCGGATTACCTCAAGAGATATCGATGTAACAGGAGAAAGCAGACCCATATATATTAACGAACATTTAACCCCCTTTAATAAACAACTATTGAAAAAATGTAAGGAATTGGCCAAAATAAAACAGCATCAGTTCGTCTGGGTAAAAAATGGGTTAATATTCGTGCGAAAAAACGACAACTCTCCCGCTTTAAAGATCATAAGCGAAGAGGATCTCAAGAAACTAAGTGTTTCCAAATAAGTATTCTCTTTAATAATCTTTTCTCGTTGTTAAATTTATATATTTCCGTATTATATAATGTGTACTGTATTTATAACGTTAATTGTCTAAGATATGTCTCAATAGCTATATTTAGTTTAAATTCTCAATATTTAATGTTTATGAAAAAACCTTTATTTGCCAGCTCTGTTCGGAATAGGTACTCTATGCTAGAAAACACGTTACTTACAATGTTATTTGTACGCTTAATTAATGTGCATCGAATTGTGCACGGTCACATTTCATGTACAAAAGCTAACATTACAAAAATTTTGCAGAATGTAAATGATGCAGCTAATAAATTATTATTTCTTTGTCATAATGGCACTGATAACAAAAATTATCTCTTTCTTAAAAATATAATTTACTTTGCATATTTCAAACAAAATTATCATAAACTAACATTAAGCCGCTTAAAAATCACTGTTTTTAATATATTAATATTTAACATCAAATTCTATACATATACGTTATCACTAAAATCATTTATCGCACCTGTTTATAGTGATGGACCTATAACGCATTTTAACTTCACTGTCTTATTTATCACTGCTAAAAGAACATTAGTGCCGGAGCGTAAAAATAAATTCTTACAATACCTTCAAATAGTTAATAATAATGCATTATTTAAACTTTCAATATGGATTTATTTATACATTTTATTCGTTCTGTTTACATTAGTGGGAAACTTAAATATTAACACATATTTATATACATGGTTTACAAAGGATGAACATATAATACGTTATACTATTTCGATATTTATATCAAATGAATCAAACACGAAAACTATTCATCGCTTTTTTCTGTCAACCTATAATCAAAATCACTTTTGTACACAGTATTGTAATCTGTGTTTTTGTGTTTCAGCCCCTCTATTTTACAAAACAATTATATTTATTAGTAATATTTTCCAGTTGTATAATAACTTTTATACTATAAGTTGTAAACAATTGGTAGCATTCTAAGTTCTAAGTTCGATACGTTAAATAAAAGTAAAGATCTAAAAATATATTATCAAAATACACGGGGGCTGAGAACTAAATGTTTGCAATTAAGACAGCAGATTTTAAGAAATGATTATGATATTATTGTAATAACTGAGACATGGTTGCATAACGGGATTTTCGACGGAGAATTATGTGACGATCGGTATGAAGTTTTTCGGTGTGATCGAGACTTATTATCATGCGATAAAAAGACAGGAGGCGGGGTCATGATCTTAGTGCGTAATGAGTTATGTGCAACTCCCTTAGTCACTGACTGTCTGAATAACTGCTCACCGCCTGATATGTTAATGCTGTTAGTACCGGCACATGCAATTTCTGCTACTGCAGATTTGTACATTATTGCGATTTACATCCCTCCTAATGTTTCACATATGCCAGGTGAAATAGATTACTTACTGCAAATCTGTGGTAATCTCAAATAGTACTGGTAAAAATATTTTAGTTATCGGTGATTTTAATCTTCCATGCATCTCATGGAGTACTCAGGGCCCAACACATTTAAATAAAGGCAATGCTGAAATTAAAAGTGCTGGTGTAAGGTTAACAGATGAACTGAGCTTTCTCGGTCTCAAGCAATATAACAGTTTTAAAAATTATGCCGGTAATACTTTAGATTTGGCATTTTCAAATCTTCCACTTGAAGTCGCAATTTGCAACTCGCCCCTTATAAAGGTTGACCGCGCCCATCCTCCGTTAGTACTGGAAATTTTAGACGTCTCAATCACACCGTTTACTGAAGCATCTAAGCCTAAATATGATTTCAATAAAACCAATTATGATAAACTAAATGAAACTCTAAATAGCATCGATTGGCGAACACAATTACAATCTAGCACGGTCCAAGAGGCTTGTGATAACTTTTATAATATAATAAATGATGCTATATGCCAACACGTACCACTTAAGTCCTATCATAATAAATATAAATACCCTATCTGGTACAGTCCCGCTTTAATAAAAATAATTAAAGAAAAATCAAAAGCACACAAAAAATGGAAACGGTCTGGCAATTTATTAGATTATGACGAGTTTTCATTATTACGTAAACGACAAAATCGGGTTCAGGATGCTTGCTTTGCTATATATACTCAACGTACCGAGGAAGCCATTAAATACAAACCGAGGTTGTTCTGGTCATACGTTAAGTCTTTGCGTGGTGGATCGAATTATCCAAAACAATTATCATACCTCGGCAATAAAGTAACGGGTGGTAAAGAAATATGTGATACTTTTAATACTTTTTTCAAAAACGTTTTCGGTGACCCTTCTGATAAAATATTAGAAGAAAGCAATGCCACTTCTACATATGATAATATATCTAAACTGTTTATCCCTACATCCACTATTGAGAAAAGACTTAGACTACTTGATATTTCTAAAGGAGCAGGATGTGACGGCATTCCCCCTTTATTTTGGCGTAACTGTGCTAAAACTTTGTGTGTCCCTATCGCTATCATTTTTAATATGTCTCTTAGCGAAGGTGTATTTCCGGATATATGGAAAAGAGCACACATTGTTCCTGTACATAAAAAGGGAACTAAAACTAAAATTGAAAATTATAGGGGCATTTCAATTTTAAATACTATTGGCAAAGTTTTTGAGAAAACCATTTATGATGTTATATATCCCGTAATATGTAAGGGACTGCCAAAAACTCAACACGGATTTCTAAGGTATCGTTCTACTATCACTAATCTGGCGTGCTTTTCTAACTATGTTTTGTCTAATATGGATGGAGGCGGTCAGGTAGACGTGGTCTACACGGACTTCGAAAAAGCTTTCGACCGTGTGGACCATGTCATTTTACTGAATAAACTACAATTGTTAGGCATACATGGAGATTTACTCAGGTGGATAAAATCCTATTTGAGTAACAGATCCCAGGCTGTTGTAATAGGTGGATATAGATCGGACTTTATCAAAATACCAACAGGCATTCCTCAAGGATCACATCTGGGGCCTTTACTGTATAACGCTTATATTCACGATATTACTACTTGTTTTAAGTTTTCACAACATTTAATGTACGCCGATGACAAAAAAATTTTTTACAATATCCGTACTGAGCAGGACTGTCATCAAATGCAAACTGATTTAACCGCTTTATCAGCTTATTATACTGCTAACAACATAACAATTAATATTGATAAATGCGAATGTATTAGCTTCACACGTAAAAAAAACCCTATTTCATTCTCCTACAATTTTAACGGTATTCCAATACAAAGAACATCTACTGTTAGAGATTTAGGAGTTCATTTTGACAATAAAATGCTTTTATCAGAGCATGTTGACGAAATTGTTAACAAGGCTTTTAAAAATCTTGGATTTGTGATGAGAACTTGCAAGCCTTTTAAAGATATTAATACCCTTAAAATTATGTATAATGCTTATGTTCGCAATATATTAGAATATGCCAGTCCAATTTGGTCTCCCCAATACGCTACTTATAAAAATCGTATAGAACGCATACAGGAAAAATTCATCAATTATCTAAATTATCGTTTTTTCAAATCACCACTTGTAACCTATGAAAATACTTGTCAATCTTATAATTTATTGACACTCGAAAACAGACGTAAATTAATGGACGTATGTTTTTTGTATGATATTGTCCGTGGACAGGTAGACTGCCCTGAGTTGGTGGCGAGCATAACATACAAAGTACCGTCGCGTCGTGTTCGCCGTCGGCCGCACCCTTTATTGCATGTGCCGTTTGCTGGCACTAATTATGCACGTAATGCGCCTATAAACCGAATGCTCAGGACATACAATGAGATCTTTAGTGATATAGATCTCTTTGTTTTTAGTAAACCAGCCTTTAAAGCTAAAGCTCTTAAAATTCTAAATGAGGTGCAAAACGAGTAAATCATTTTGATTTGCTTAATCATGATGATCATCATTACATCCCTTCATAAGTCCACTGCTGAACGTGGACCTCCCCCAGGGAATGCCACAAGGCACGATTCTGAGCCGCATGCGTCCGTCGACTTCCTATATGTCTTACCAGGTCGTTACTCCATCTAGTAGGACTCCCTACACAAAAATAAATAAATAGTAATGAACATAAATCAACTCTATTATAATATGAAAATGAATTCATACTTTGCATCATTTAGTATAATCATTTCTTACTTGATTGTTGAGTGTAAATCTGACATAAGTGTAACGGTTTAGAAAAATAAATAAATAAACAGGTGTGATATTTCATATTTCATTAAATTAAATTACATGAAAGAATGTTCTGCACTGGCTGCATGTAAAAGTTTTGCAGAGAAATAAATAAAACAAATATTACTTCTACATACACATATACAAAAGTGTAATTAGTATAAACATTTAGTTACATATCTGTTAACATATATATATATATATATATATATATATATATATATATATATATATATATATATATATAATTGGATTAGTACATACATATTATAATAAATCCAAATATATTTTGTACCGTCCATAATATATTTTGTTTATATGACTGAAAAAACCTTTAATAGGCCTTACATTTAAGCTGTATACTTTAAGTCCTTAAAATTGTTAAATCGCTGTTGGTTTTTTTTAAATAAATAAAAAAAATAAAATAAAACTGTCAACGGTCACGAATGCGCAACTTATAGAGAAGCATGAAACCATGGAGGAAGCTGTGCAGTGCCAGTCACCAGCCAAAATTAGGGATCTTTATGCAACTCTCATATCATCTTGCGGGTTATCTAATGCACATGAATTGTGGGACAAATATAAAGAGTACATGGCGGAAGATATTTTGCGAAGGTTACAGCAGACCCACGCGAACATGACATACAAGGAACACATTTATAATGAAGCACTTGGAAAAATTGAAGATAAAGTAATGGCAATGGTAGGCAAAAAATTAAGCGACTTTGGAATGATAAGCCCTCAGCGAACAACCGACAATGAACTAAGTGATGAAATTATATGTGAAACAAACTATGATAT